TCTACTAGAACTGCATACTCAGAATATTTCTAGGAAATCTAATTAAAAAAGCTCGAAATTTTTACGAAAGTTTGTAGATTTTTCTTTTTTAACCACAATAAAATAACAACAAAAATAATATGTTAAAACTTGTCGAAATGTGGTGCGGCTATAACTTTTTCGACCACTGTATGTATGTACATACAAAAGAACTACTGAAGCTACAATTGTACTATTTACTTATTTCCGTTGTGCAGGGTGTGGCGACAGGTGTGCAAGGCTTTAACTTACCGCTCATATTGGACGACAGCAAACTCAAACTCCTCGTAAACACGTGGATTTCAAAATGTATGCATGTATGTGTATTTACACAAGCATACATATGTAGATGAGTTATTTTTGTAAAAATTTTCTTTTAACATTCGTTTGAAAGAGATGTAGTTAGCACAAACATTTTAGATTCCGCGGTCAACGCTACCCTTAGAACAGTTTTGATATTTCCGCCTCACTATGTAAATATGTATTTTCATATTCATACATAAATGCACTGTCGTCGTAGTTTTTATCATCCGATTTGCCGTTGATTACCCACCAAATGCGGCGCCGAAGAATTTTACAATAAATCTTTATAAACTTTAAACATACATTTAATTAGAGATATACATATACTAAATGTACATATGTTTGTGTTGTTACAGTTTTCAATGGGAAATATGTACAAAGGTATGCTGCACTGCACTGTAAGCGGCGATCGTATTTCCACGTCGTCCACCCGTACTGCAAATACTTTACTAAACAGAACTAGCCGCCGATGCAAACATTTGTTGTCCACGAAGGTATAAACGCGAATAAATGTTTTGTTTGACAAATGATCGACCTGAAGCTGGGAGTCGTAGCCAGAGACGAGCCGCGATTGAGAATTTGCAGGGAGCGCATGGCTGCCATCAACTTTAAGCGCTGAGTTGGTGGAGCTCTGCGCTATTTTCAGAGCAACGCACGAGTTGTTGGTTTGTTGGAAAGGTGCTCAGAGTCAATAGCAGCCGTGGAATGACACACGTAAATGGCGAATCTTCACAAAGGTAAAAACAGTGGCCTTAGTTTGTTGGTTGTGTCTAAGACTAAAACAAGAAAGAAAGGAGGGTACCGTGGAACTATAAAGGTGATGTACATATGTACATATTTTATATGTGGTGAGTGGCTATCAATTACATACATACATACATACATACGAGTATACTGTCGCGATCATTACTTAAACCGTCGCGACGTGTCGCTGGCGTGCAAATCGGCGCTCAGCTTGTATCGAGAGTGTCGATAACGAAATGTCGAACTGTGTGGTGTCTCAAAAATACACGCAATCGTACACTTATGGGTGAAAACGGCCTGCCGGAAAAGAAAGCCAGAAAAGCGCATCACAATGAAAGCTGATACAAACATAAATAGATATACAAACACAAATATTTGAACAGGGTTGCCACTGATGAAAAAAGCCTATCATTACCTTCTATTATTTTTTTTTAGTTATTTCATTTAAAAAATTACAATTTTGTAATAAGGAACTTTTTATTTAACTTGAAATGTACGGTTTTTTTTGTTATTTTTTATAAAAAGTATTGTTCAAGCGGTCACTGTGGTGTAGTGGTAAGCAGTGCGCGCTTCTACTCCGCAGCGCTTGGGTTCAAGCCCTGGTCAAAGCACCATCGCAAAAAAAATTAGAAAAACAGCTTCTCTGAAAATACAATCGCCGGTCGTAGTCGCCACAAATCGGAGGAGAAGCTCGGCCAAACACTAACATATGTATGTGTAAGCGCCAATCTATTATTATTATTATTATTGTTCAAGCTTTAACCAAAATATTCAAACCGCTGGCCACTCAACTAAAATTTCTTAAGAACTTCGTTTTGTTTAAGAAAATTTGACTCAATAAATTTTTATTGAACATTTTTTTGGCGTTTTTTTATTCGTATATATAGCGCTTTTGTATGATTATTATCTGCATGCTTTTTAATATGTTGAAAACATTGCTGGAAAACCTTAAAATATTTTCATGGAACCATGGCGCAATAAACAGGTTAAGTAATAAAACAGCCTTCTCACTTTATTTTCTGACATTCGGCTGCTTTTAAGTCAAACTTTATAGGAAAATTTCATATAAGACGTTGGGCACTTTCAAAATTATATACATACAAATCCGCCCATTTAACTTGTTCATGTAGATACTACTTTTTGTCAAATGTAACTGGGTGACTACCTACCTACCTACATACATATGTGTACTATTTTGCTTTATTACTCAATTGTTAAGCTTAAAAGTTGGTCTTATTGCTCAAGGAGAAATGAAATAATGCAGATTTGTGTTATTTCACCCAAGCCGCTGTCAAAATTAAAACTCACAAAGGCATATGGAATGGCTCATAATTGCGGCGGCAGCATTTTTACCGCCAACGTTTTTCGGTTGATTTAAATTTATTTATATTTTTACCGCCCGGCGGGGACGGCACAATGTTGATTGAGTGTTGATTGTAGTAATTTTTATTATTTTCACACGTTTTCCAATGTTTTCATCCATTTTTATTAAATTTTTATTCATAAAAAAAATCGGTCCAGCTCACGTAAATCTTCATATTTTTCCGAAATATTTTGTTGGACGTCTTCAAGTATAATAAATTACCTATGTAATACGGGCGGAAAAACCACAACTTTTTTTGAAGATGCAGTCTAATTCTACCTCTACATCGTATTTTTAATTTGTCTCTTGCGTCGGGCGTCTTTATCGAGGAATGGAAAATTACTTCTACTAACCCTATATTTAAGAGTGGGAATAAAAATAATGTTCGCAATTACAGGCCCATTTCTAAACTATCAACTGTATGGAAGTTTTTTGAATCTATAATAATAATAGATTGGCGCTTACACATATGTTAGTGTTTGGCCGAGCTTCTCCTCCGATTTGTGGCGTGTGCCTTGATGTTTTCACAAAAAACCGGAGGGACCTACAGTTTTACGCCGACTCCGAACGGCGATTGTATTTTTATGAGAAGCTCTTTTTCATGGCAGAAATACACTCAGAGGTTTGCCATTGCCTGCCGAGGGACGACCGCCGTTAAGAAAAAACCTTTTCTATATTTTTTTTGCGATGTTGCTTTGGCCAGGGCTTGAACCCAGGTGCTGATGAGTGAAAGCGCGCACTGCTTACCACTACACCACAGCGGCCGACTGAATATATAGTCAAAGAAAAAATGTATTTTATCACTAAAAGTTTAATCCTGCCCAACCAACATGGCTTTGTTTCCAATAGATCTTCTGTGTCTAGCCTAGCTCTATTTGTGAATACTGTGTGACGTCTTTTTCTGCTGGATTGCAGGTTGACTGTATTTATACGGACTTTTGTAAAGCTTTTGATAGAGTCTCTAATTCGATTTTAGTTAATAAGTTAGCATATCTTGGTTTCCATTCTGTTTTTTTTTTGAAGTGGATTAAATCCTACTTGATCAACAGGCGCTGTGCTGTCTCGATAGATGACATTTCGTCAGATGCATTCATTGCCTCCTCTGGGGTGCACCAGGGAAGTATTTTAGGTCCTTTACTTTTTATATTATTCATAAATGACATTAGCTCATGTTTTTCTTTCGCTAATTTTTGATCAAAAACGGAAGGTATGCTACTATGTCCCAGGCTGATATTAATAATCTTAATCTTTGGTGCAAAAAATCTCTGATCCCTATACTCTCAAATTACTATACTCATCTTTTGTTCGTCTCATTTTGGAATATGCTACATTTATTTGGAAGCCATTCCACAAAACTTTCATAACTAGATTTGGACGTGTCCAAAAGGTTTTTCTTAAGTTCGTATTGCGGTCCTTAAACTTGTTTTACCACCGTAAAGTAGTCGTTTGCTTTTAATTAACCTTAAGGCTTTCCGCACATTGGTCGTCCAATCATAGTTGCTTCATCGTCACAATCATGATGCAACGACTACATGACGACTACACTTTCGCAAACTCGGTCGTGATATTTCAATTCATTTGGCGTCTAAAAATTCACTTGGAGCAGGTATTTTCTGTTTTTCTGGTTGATATTTTCCCGAAATATTTACAAAAACCTGCAATTTTTAAAACATAGACTGTGCAGTTCTAGACATAATTTTTCAGTAATATCTCTTCTTTTCTTTTCCTGAAATGTGTGTTGTGCATGCACACAGAGACTTTTTACAATTTCGTCATATTTTATACTTAAAAAAGCTCACATTTATTGAATTTTAATGCAATTATCCACTTTTTAATAATTTCTACAGATTTAATGCAAAAAATACAAATTTTTATGCAATTTTAATGCAAATATTAACTTTTGCATTAATTTTTCCCCATAAAATGTAAACAAACAATGCGTGCACAACGATTAGCAAACGACAGTGCCGTACTTATCCGTTTCTGCATCTTCTACGATTTGCCGATAACTAGCCGATAACGACAAGTGTGCAGATCTCCTTTGAAATGCATGTGCATGATTGGACGACAAGTATGCAGATAGCCTTAGTCTTTGGAATCGAGACGCTCTGTACTCTCACTGACTTTTGTTTTTAATATTATTAATGGTAGTGTTGATTGTCCTTTTCTCTTAGGTCGCATAAATTTCAACATCCCTCAGCGAGTCTTGCGTAACATTTTGCCGTTCTATTGTGGAACCATAGAACAGAATACGCGCGCAATGCCCCCTTTGGTATGTGCCTTAAATGAGTTTAATTTGATCTCGAATTCTATCTTACTTGATTTCTCTTACTCAAGAAATTTATTTATTAATCTTTTGTATTCTTTCTTTTGATTCTGGTATCTAGTTTAATCAATAGTTTTAGTGCCCTGTATATATTCACTTTGTAACTAGTCTGTAAGAAACCACTGTTGCATAGACGAATAAATAAATAAATAAATTTACATACATAGTTATAGCCATTATAGGACGTATTCGTTGTTAAAATGAAGTCGACACTAAAGTTAGTCACAGCTTTTTGACATAACTTACAGTGCAATATTTTCAGTGTTGCGGCTGCATTTATGAACTACTACATATTTATTTTTACTTACATACATACATTTATAAGTATGTACGTACGTACATATGTACTTCAGACTTTGACTGCGTCTTATTGTTTATTTTTTCATGTTTTACCATACTTTATAGTACGGACCTGATTCATAAGAATCCGTTCATGCAAAAGTATAAATGAAGTAAAATTATCACTGCACTAAAATAATATTTATTTTATTGAAAACATATACATACATACATATGTATGTATTGACAAATGTTAAAAGTGTAGGAAAATCGCGTCCTAAACAAATGCGACGCGGCGATTTGGTTTAAAAGCCAAATATCAAACGAACGCACCAAGCGCACGAACGAACTGGTCTGACTTGGTTTGGAAGAAGCCAGTAGTGCCGTTCGAACTAAAGAGCGTGTCACTGAGCGCAGGAGGAGCGGAGAGAGTTTCTGAAATGCAATGCGATACTAAATACGAGGCGCGAGAAGGCATTGCGGCGCTGCATTTACTGCTGCTCATCAAATACCTGCATACATACATGCATATGTATTTATACAGGCCTGCCATTTTACAAAAAAAAAAACTCGGAATAGTAACTGATTTTTTTTTTAACAGTGTGGCAAAATAACACTTTTTTAAAAATTTGTAATTTTTCTTTCATTCATTTATTTTCAAAATATTTGCATAGTATATTACATGAAGTTTTTGTTTTGCCCAACAATTTCTGTGTCCTAGTATTTCATACCAAACAAAATTTTTCATCTTTGGCCGTTGAAACAAGTGATTTATGTATGTATACGGTTGCCAGACGTACTGATTTTATCAGTACAGTACTGATTTTTCAACTCTTGTACTGATTTTATTCATTTCTTCAATCAGTACGCTAATGTCCTGATTTTTCAAAATTTGTACAGATTTGTACTGAATTTTCAATTCAAAGAAAATACTTTAGGATTTTCTTAAGGTTTTTACATAACGTTGGAACTTCCTTAAACTGTGCTGTAAAAAGTAAGAAGAAAATAATTTAATTATAGTTGACATGTTTCAGATAATGTTTGATATGCCCAAGATATTAATACAACAAAAAGATCAATTGTTTATGGGCATATCGTCGGGCCCTTACGTACCGGTTGCGATAATATGACGAGTGTTGTTAGTTGTCTCGAAAATAACTTTAATTTTAATAAGAACAAATTTGAATATTCGAATGGCTTTTGCTTACACACAATTTTTTTTCTCAATTTGCTGACATTGCAAAAGAGTTTTGCCTACAAGAAATAGAGTTAGATACTCTTTTTAGAGAATTATTAGATTTTCAAAAAATTTGCGTAGTTGAAAAAATAAATTTAAGCCATGAGGAAATATAGATGAAGTCCTTACATAGTGGTACTTTTCCACAGTTTTAACAAAGATGTAATTTTTTTTTTTTTTGAATACAACTCTCAGATGAAGCAACTGAGAGGATCTTGAGAGAGAAACCGGCTTCTGATTAGTTTTTTTGAAAGTGAACTTCAAATTAAAATTAATTCTAAACTGATATGTATAGAATACTTTGACTATTTAAACACTGAAAATGGAAATGATCTAATTTTTTCTATTCAAAAATGTCATAAATGTAAAATAATTTATTGCCTTTTGTGTAGAATAATGTGTACACTTATGTTAAAATGAATAACACCTAATTTATGAACTTTATATATTTCATTTATATAGGTACCAAAATATTGCCAAAAACAAGTACTCTGGCGTTTTAAAGTAATATCTGTTATTTACATTTATAAATTTGTTTTGAAAAAAATGTACTGAAAAGTACTGATTTTTTTAGCATGAAAAGGTCTAACATACTGCATAAAAAATCTGGCAACTCTATGTATGCACATATTTCATTTTCCTATTGCACTTTTGTTTTCGCAAACCACGCTATGGAAACTTTCATTTTAGAATCAAAAATTAGCAAACAACATTTGAATCGGTACCGTGCCAAATTGAAAACAATAATACTTGCAAAGTGGGGCACTGAAAATCGTGCTCTAAGCTGCTATATTTCCACTTAGCGCGGGTTCATGAAACAAAAAGTAGAGTAAGTTGGAGCAAGAAAAATACTCGTGAAACACAATTTTGTGAGATGTCTTAACCTGGCGTAACCTAGAGCAGCTCACTAAACACAACTCAAATGAAACCTTCTCCTGCACTTAAATATTTATATTTGGCACTTTTTCTGCAGTAAAATGCCACTTCATGCCTCATGAAAGCTGGCAGCTCTGTTACTTTGACCGGCTGGCGATTCAATGGGTTGCGTTTCCGCCGCGTCTACATTTGTCTTTGACTTTGTCGTCATAGTTGACTTAACAGTCGACGTCATCCCCATTGCATGCAAGCTTGTCAGTCTGCTCTTGACATTTTTTTTTTATTTGTTATCTTTCTTCTCTCTCCGTTCTCTCAGTTTCTCCTTGTATAAGTGACATTTCTATTGTTATAGTTTGTACCGTTGCATATCTGGTTTTGTCTGTGGCAACACGTCATGAAGTGCGGAATGTGCCCAACAAGTTTTTCGTTCCTTGCTTTGTTTCCATGCCGAACATATAAACAAATAATTCTCCAAATTTTGAAACAGACGTCATTAAATGTTAGTCAGAGTTATAAGCTATCTGCCATATTTCATCTAAATCCGTGCAGCCGTTTCTGAGTGAAGAGCGGTCTCGCTTAGTGTTGGTTCTAAAAAAAGTACTAACTTCAAAAAATAAAATCTTGTTTATGGGCCAAGGTCTTTACTTTGACCTCTCATATTTCAAATTCGAATGAACGGTGCAAATCTAATGACCTTCACAAAAAATCCTTCTCGTATAATATACATATATGTTTAGTTAGATCGGTATGACCTTCGAAAAGGTAGCATGCCTATTCAAAGATATTTTCAAACTAAAGCTTTCTAAATCTCTTCCGATTACGGTTGCCAGACGTACTGATTTGGGAAGGATAGGGCTGAATTTTCAATCACTTTACTGAAAATTTGCAATTCCCAATTCAGTACGTAAATGTCCTTATTTTTCGGAAATGTGTGCTGATTTGTACGGAATTTTCAATCTCTATTCCACTTGGGGGTCAACTTGCCAAATAAGGTTAAATTAAAAAGACACGTTTAATCTATGGGTGAACCCCCTAAAGCTCAAAGTAATATAAAAACTACTTAGTCTTTCAAAAAGTAACAAGATACATTATTAAATATTAATAATAATAATAATTAATATTTTCGACTGAAGGATAGAATCATTTTATAAAAGTGTTCAGAACTTCGATAGTAAAATTATTTAAATATCAGACTAAATTTTGTGCTTTCCTTTTTTTTCAAAATATTTCTAGTATCCTGTCAGTGTCAATTTTAATCGCTAAGTGTATGTGTAAAAATGCTACCCCATACATACTTGGTTTTAACCGGCCAGGGTTGAAGAACTTCTTTGTGAAGTAGCGTTATTACGAGTAGCTACAAATGTGGCCAGATAGCAGAAAAGTGGTCTCCAAATAGAAGTAGATACAGTATATTTTGCTTTGCTGCCTTTGTGCTTAAGTGCACATTTAAGTTACCTACCCCAAAATTTGCATCAGCGGCATTATTTTTAACATTTATAAGGAAATTGTTCCGATAGATGCATTCAACATACCAGCACATTAGCGATATCTGCCTTAAAAATTTGCAACTATTATCAATTAGCAAGGAAAATATTACGTTTACCTGCACTGGCTCTACACTTACCCTAATTTTAAAAGCTTTTATTTATTTTGCTCATCTCGCAGAACAACGAAAACGGCTATCATTTTATGTAGTTATATAGAAAATTAGATACTAATTTAGTATAAAGCTAAACTAGTAATAAAGCAAAGCTCCAAATTTTGTGGAAAACTTGCGAAAATTTAACGAATTTCAAAAAATTATCATCAAATTTTCAAGCTTACTGTACTGTGTACTGAAATGTACTGATTTTTTAGCGCTGAAAAAGCCCAAAGTACTGAATTTTGAGAAAAAAATCTGGCAACCCCACTTCCGATTGACACTCATATTCTATATTTCATATAGTTTTTGTATAAGTTTACTAAATTCAAACAGGTGAAATCTGTTTCAAAAGTAGTAGACGTCGGAAGGCACTAAGCCTTGCACCCGTCCAACGCATTGCTAGGATGTCGGTCAGCCAGTCGGGCGTAGGCATCTTCCCCATTAAGAGACAAATCGTAGTCCTTTAAACGGTCGTCATCAAAAGGAAGGGTCTCATCCGAGGCTTTATTGTTCTTCTTCACTGGAAGAGGATTTTTTGTGGCGGATTTTATATAGCGCGCCGCTTGCTCCAAGTCAGACGCCTGCTTGCAGCCGCAACTACATAGGGATGCAAATTTTGAGCAGTAACATCGATACATCGATGTTTCGATGTATCGGAGAAAAGAACATCGAGGCTAAAATACATCGTCAAAGAAATATCGATAGATCGATGGTTTCCGATAATTTGCAATTTTTTAATTTCTATTTAAATTTAAAGCAATATTGAATAATTTAATAATTATGAATGTATTTTCCTGTATTTTATTATCCTTTCTATATATACCCTTTTTATTATTAGAAATGTATACCATCGTAAGATCGTTCGGGCCTAAAGATCCTAGGCCTGATCTTGTTGAAATTCTAAGGGGTGTTTGGTTCTGTTTTAACGGCTAGGTTATTAGCATTCAGAATGAATCCAACAATTTTGTTGAGCTTAGGGACGTTTTTTTATGAAAAATGTTGTGAAAAGCAACAATAATTTACAAAGCTAAATGAGATCACCACATCTACTAATCTGACTTCTTCACCCGCGTCCACTGAAGAGATGTGGTGGTCTCCGAAATAGCAGCTATAACTTCTACCTTTTGTAAATTATTGTTGATTTTCAATAGCATTTTTCATAAGAAATGGCCTCAAGCTCAATAAAATTGTTGAATATATTTTTTATAAGGCCATAAATAACAAAAAAATTCTGAATGAATAATAAATTTAAGGTCAGTTAAACATACCGAAAGAAAGTCGGAGAGTCTTCTTAAAGTCGATGTTTAAAACATCGGTAAAACTTCCATCGATGTATCGTCAATTTCGCGATGTTAGTAAACTGTAAACATCGATGCATCGTTTGCATCCCTACACCTACAGAACAGACGCTGCAGACTTCGGTGAGCTCTACCTCAATATAAATTCAATGTATGTATCGGCAGTTGAGATAGGGTGTTTTTACACAATTTGCTAAGAAAGGGCGTTTTCGAACTTGCAGCAGAGATAGGGCGATTTTCCAGTCAGCCATCGAAATGTAACTTTGGCTATTGAGTTCTGCCGAATTTCCACTAGGCATTTAAATGACAA